TTTTAATAGCCTAAGAAATTTTTTGGGTCAAATTGATTGGAAAGGCTTGGGTATGGGGTGTGGGCCGGTCTTGGAGCGAGACATGAACCCAGCGATAGGTGACTTAAATGGGGATTTCGATGTGGATTCAATATATAACTTATTTAAGAATATTCTAAACAAAGCACAGGAACGTAGTATACCATACAAATTGAATAGATCGTATACTAATGACCCAAAGTGGATAACAAAGAATTTGAAGAACCTTATAGGTAAAAAGAGAGCTTGGTACAAAAGGATTAAAAATGGGGAGGTCACTTTAGAACAGGAATTCGTACAACTGGTTAGAAATGTTAAAAAAGAGATAAGGAAAGCAAAAAGAAACTATGAAGTTCGCATAGCAGGGCAAGCAAAGACAAATCCTAAAGGGTTTTTTCAGTTATATCGTACTAAGACTAGGGAAAGGATAGGTCCATTAAAAACTGAGACAGGTCAAATAACAGATAGTGATGAAGAGATGAGTAGTATTTTTAATAAATATTTTGTATCTGTATTTACTAAAGAGGAACTTAACAATATGCCTTCAGCCGAACAAGTCTATGTGGGTGGGGACGAGGACAGGTTGACGAGTTTAGCAGTTACCAGGGAGGATGTTCTTAAACAAATAGTAAAACTCAAACCAAACAAATCCCCAGGGCCGGATGAAGTGTTTGCTAGGGTGCTTAAAGAATGCAAAGAGGAGCTTTGTGACCCACTGTCAACCATATTTAATAAATCAATAGAGTCAGGCAGAGTGCCAGAGTTTTGGAAAGTTGCTAATGTGATACCAGTTTTTAAGAAAGGAGATAGATCACTTGCGTCTAACTATCGACCAATTAGCCTAACGTCTATTGTGGGAAAGTTACTCGAATCTATAATAGCAAATAAAATTCGTCTTCATCTTGAAAAACATAAATTAATAATTGAGTCGCAACATGGTTTTATAAATGGCCGTTCATGTTTAACAAATTTGTTATCTTTTTATTCTAGCATTGTTGAGGCAGTTGATAGTGGTAAGGATTGCGATGTTGTATACCTTGACTTTAGCAAAGCTTTTGATACAGTGCCACATGAAAGACTGATTAAAAAAATAGAGTCTCATGGTATTGGGGGTGCTATATTAAGCTGGATTAGGGCATGGCTATACCAAAGGAAACAGAGAGTTAGTATAAATGGAATCAAGTCAGAGTGGGAAAATGTTGTAAGTGGAGTGCCTCAAGGCTCTGTCCTGGGACCTCTGTTGTTTATAATATATATAAATGATTTAGATTCAGGTTTGAGTAGCAACATTTGCAAATTTGCCGATGATACGAAAATCGGTAGGGAAATTAATTCGGAGGAGGACTCACTATCACTTCAAGTTGATCTAGATAGGGTTTTGAAATGGTCAAAGGATTGGCAGATGCAGTTTAATGCTGATAAATGTAAAGTTCTGAGGTTAGGTAATGATGATAGAGTTACAAGATACGAGCTAGATGGTGTTGTGATTGCGAAGTCGGATTGCGAAAGGGATCTGGGAGTTATGATTAGTAAGAATTTAAAACAAAAGGATCAATGCATAAATGTTCGTAATAAGGCAAATCGGACACTTGGATTTATTAATCGCAGCGTTAGTAACAAGACACCTGGTGTGGTTCTCAAGCTATATCTTGCTCTAGTTAGGCCCCATTTAGATTATGCAGTTCAGTTTTGGTCGCCATATTATAGAATGGATATAAATTCACTTGAACGTGTCCAGCGTAGGATGACTAAGTTAATTCCCCAAATTAGAAATCTTTCATATGAAGAAAGATTAACAAAGCTTAAGTTGCATTCACTGGAAAGGCGAAGAGTTAGGGGTGACATGATAGAGGTTTACAAGTGGATGAATGGACATAACCGGGGGGATATTAATAGGGTATTAAAAGTATCAACACAGGACAGAACACGAAACAATGGATATAAATTGGATAAGTTTAGATTTAGGAAAGACTTGGGTAAATACTGGTTCAGTAACAGGGTTGTTGATTTGTGGAACCAATTGCCGCGTAACATTGTGGAGGTGGGGTCCCTCGATTGTTTCAAGCACGGGTTGGACAAGTATATGAGTGGGATTGGGTGGTTATAGAATAGGAGCTGCCTCGTATGGGCCAATAGGCCTTCTGCAGTTACCTTTGTTCTTATGTTCTTATGTTCTTACGCAAAGCGTTTCGGGCAGGAAAAACATTAATGACTAAAACTTAATACTAATTGAGTATAAAGAATAAAATGTGTTGAGAACATATACAAATAAAGATAAAAAAGGGGGGAACATGGCTGAAAAAGCAGCACAAAGACAATTAGGTCAGCAAACAGCGTTGTTTAAAAAAACAGACATTGGTTGACAATAGAGGGGTAAGGTAGGTTACAGGGAATTTATTAGGTATAGCTTCGTTTTTATCTTAAACTGGTTGAGAGAGGTACAGTCTTTAACATGGTTGGGAAGGTCATTCCACATTCTGGGCCCCTTGATTTGTAGAGCATTTCTAGTTTGATTAAGTCGTACTCTAGGAATATCAAAACTGTATTTATTTCTGGTGTGGTGCTCATGGGTTCTGTTACAACCTTCTATGAAGCTTTTGAGATCAGGATTGGCATTATAGTTTAGCGTTTTATATATGTATAATACACATGAGAGAATGTGCAGTGACTTAATGTCTAACATATTCAGAGATTTGAGTAAGGGTACCGAGTGATGTCTGGGGCCAGAGTTGGATATTGTCCTAATAGCAGCTTTGTGTTGAGTAATTAGAGGACGTAAATGATTTTGGGTAGTAGAACCCCAAGCACAAATACCATAGTTGAGATATGGATAGATAAGGGAGTAATAGAGAGTCACCAGGGCAGGGCGGGGTACATAATATCTGATCTTAGAAAGAATGCCAACAGTTTTTGAAACTTTTTTTGATATATTTAGAATGTGACCCTGGAAATTCAGCTTGTGGTCAATGAGAATGCCAAGGAATTTGCCATCTAATTTGTTACAAATTTGGGTATTGTTTATTTTGAGATTTATTTGATTAGAGGATTTATTGCCAAACAGAATATAGAAAGTTTTGTCAATGTTAAGGGTGAGTTTGTTGGCAGTTAGCCACAGATGGACTTTCTCTAGCTCAGTATTTACTGTGGCATTTAGAGCAAGGGGGTCAGGACTGGAGTAAATGAAGGTTGTGTCGTCAGCAAATAGAATTGGTTTGAGGTGTTGGGAGGCATTTGGAAGGTCATTAATGTAGATGAGAAAGAGGAGAGGGCCAAGTATGCTGCCCTGAGGAACACCAATGTTGATGGTTAGGGTGGGAGAAATTGAATTATTCACAGAAACACATTGGAGCCTGTCACTAAGGTAGGATTTGAGGTATTGCAGGGAGTGTCCTCTGACTCCATAATGATGTAATTTAAGAACAAGGTTTTGGTGGTTGACAGTATCGAAAGCTTTACGCAGGTCCACAAATAACCCAACAGGGAACTCATTTTTATCAAGAGCTGCATGTATCAAGTTAATCATACTAATAAGTGCATCGTTAGTGCTTTTTTTGGGTCTGAAGCCATATTGACAAGATCTAAGTGTATTGTGTTTGGCTAGATAAGAGTAAAGCTGCTTGTAGATTAGTTTTTCAAATATTTTTGACAAGTTTGGCAGAATTGATATAGGTCTGTAGTTGTTAACATCTGTGGGGTCACCACATTTGTGGACAGGCGTTACTCTCGCTTTTTTAGAATATCTGGAAAGGTTTGGAGTTCAAGTGACATGTTGAAGAGCAAAGCAATAGCAGGGGCTAAAGATCTGGAGGCTTTTTTGTAAATTAAAGTTGGTATCTCCTCGAGGGCACTAGACTTGGTTTTAAGGGAAAGGATTATCTCATTGACGTCAGTGGAATTAATAGGCTTTAGGTACAGAGACTGTTGATAGTTCCCTGTAAGATAGTCCTTAATGTCAGTACTGGAAGATGGAATATCATTAGCAAGGGATGACCCAATGGAAGAGAAGAACCTATTGAACTCAATAGCAGTATCAGAGGCTGTAAGCTCACCATCGTTATTGGACAAGAGTGTTGGTTTGTTATTTAAAATCTTCTTTGATCCCAATATTTGTGAAATTGTGCTCCAAGTTTTTTTAATGTTGCTCTTTATTTGGGTAAATTTATCTTCGTTTTGTTGAATAAACTGTGTTATGTTGAACACTGTCTTTTCGTTACACCCCGCACACATTTTGTTGATGTATATACGAGAGTTTACATTCTTGTAAAGCCACTAGTACGCGTAGCGTTTCGGGCAGGTCCTTAACCCTAATTTCCCCGGAATACGACCCGCCGAATCGTTTAACAACCAGGTCCCCATTTACTGCTGGGTGAACAGACGCTACAGTTAAGGATTGACGCCCGGTCAATCCTCTCCGGCCAGGATTCGAACCCAAGGCAAGGCGCTTGCGAAACGCCAGGCGAACATATATATGTTCTGCCACTCTGCTAGTCATTTGAGACTGCCTCTGAGAATTAGCGCTGAATTCATAGCACCACAGAACATAAATTGCGTTGTGAGAGCCCAGGACCTTCTCGTTAGGGTCGCTCTGGCGAATGACGGAGGTCAACAGCCTATCTTGAGGTTATCTTGAGATGATTTCGGGGCTTTTTAGTGTCCCCGCGGCCCGGTCCTCGACCAGGCCTCCACCCCCAGGAAGCAGCCCGTGACAGCTGACTAACACCCAGGTACCTATTTTACTGCTAGGTAACAGGGGCATAGGGTGAAAGAAACTTTGCCCAATGTTTCTCGCCGGCGCCTGGGATCGAACCCAGGACCACAGGATCACAAGTCCAGCGTGCTGTCCGCTCGGCCGACCGGCTCCCTAAGTGAAGGGGATTACAAACTTTTGAGGTCTCGGCGTTTGCTCGCGCCTAGTCAATTGTTCTTCTATGCTCCCAGAGTGAGGAATGAGCTGCTTACTACACTTAGCGTGTTCGCTAAGCATGTCCTTCCTCAGGCGACCCATCCAGACATTGTTAAAGTTGACGGATGTAATGTAAGATTATCACGACAAGAATAAGGAGAAAGGAATTAAAAATCAATTTTTTAGACTCCTCCCAATCCAAAATCACAATTCACTAATTCAATGTTATATCTTCACACTGAGGGCAGCCAACCCAGGTGGCTGTGTACTGCAAGTGTTTAATGAACTATCATCAAGGTGTGTTATTACTACATGTAAGTTACACCTTCGTGTGCCCCCTAGTACCGTTAGCCCTGAGAACTTACTCCTTCGTGTGCCCCCTAGTACTGTTAGTCCTGAGAACTTACACCTTCGTGTGCCCCCTAGTACTGTTAGTCCTGAGAACTTACTCCTTCGTGTGCCCCCTAGTACCGTTGTACTGAGAACTTACACCTTCGTGTGCCCCCTAGTACCGTTAGTCCTGAGAACTTACTCCTTCGTGTGCCCCCTAGTACCGTTAGTCCTGAGACACTTACTCCTTCGTGTGCCCCCTAGTACCGTTAGCCCTGAGAACTTATACCTTCGTGTGTCCCCTAGTACTGTTAGTCCTGAGAACTTACTCCTTCGTGTGCCCCCTAGTACCGTTACTCCTGAGAACTTATACCTTCGTGTGCCCCCTAGTACCGTTACTCCTGAGAACTTACACCTTCGTGTGCCCCCTAGTACCGTTGTCCTGAGAACTTACACCTTCGTGTGCCCCCTAGTACCGTTACTCCTGAGAACTTACACCTTCGTGTGCCCCCTAGTACCGTTAGTACTGAGAACTTACACCTTCGTGTGCCCCCTAGTACCGTTACTCCTGAGAACTTACACCTTCGTGTGCCCCCTAGTACCGTTAGTCCTGAGAACTTACACCTTTGTGTGCCCCCTAGTACCGTTACTCCTGAGAACTTACTCCTTCGTGTGCCCCCTAGTACTGTTAGTCCTGAGAACTTACTCCTTCGTGTGCCCCCTAGTACTGTTAGTCCTGAGAACTTACACCTTTGTGTGCCCCCTAGTACCGTTAGTCCTGAGAACTTACTCCTTCGTGTGCCCCCTAGTACTGTTAGTCCTGAGAACTTACTCCTTCGTGTGCCCCCTAGTACTGTTAGTCCTGAGAACTTACTCCTTCGTGTGCCCCCTAGTACTGTTAGTCCTGAGAACTTACTCCTTCGTGTGCCCCCTAGTACTGTTAGTCCTGAGAACTTACACCTTCGTGTGCCCCCTAGTACCGTTACTCCTGAGAACTTACTCCTTCGTGTGCCCCCTAGTACTGTTAGTCCTGAGAACTTACACCTTCGTGTGCCCCCTAGTACCGTTACTCCTGAGACACTTACACCTTCGTGTGCCCCCTAGTACTGTTAGTCCTGAGAACTTACACCTTTGTGTGCCCCCTAGTACTGTTAGTCCTGAGAACTTACACCTTCGTGTGCCCCCTAGTACCGTTAGTCCTGAGAACTTACACCTTCGTGTGCCCCCTAGTACCGTTACTCCTGAGAACTTACATCTTCGTGTGCCCCCTAGTACCGTTACTCCTGAGACACTTACACCTTCGTGTGTCCCCTAGTACCGTTAGTCCTGAGAACTTACACCTTCGTGTGCCCCCTAGTACCGTTAGTCCTGAGAACTTACTCCTTCGTGTGCCCCCTAGTACCGTTACTCCTGAGAACTTACACCTTCGTGTGCCCCCTAGTACCGTTACTAGTGAGAAATTACACCTTCGTGTGCCCCCTAGTACCGTTATCCTGAGAGACATTAAGGCGGGATAACGCCACATTTAGTACAATATAACCACCACAACTTAGATACACTTTAACTGCCACTTAGTGTACCAATGGCCCGATGTTTTATGAAAGATAAGCTAGTGACTAGTCGTAACCTTCTAGCATCTAGTCAACTTAGTGCACCAGTGTTGTGTAAGTTTCATGTACCTCAAACTTGACCTGTTTAACTGAACAAATCCACAAGGGCCGTGACGAGGATTCGAACCTGCGTTCTATTGAACGGCCTATTGACATAGCTCGGGTGCAGGGGGGAGTTGTGTAAAATCCTAGTTAGTGCCTCGGAGAGGCTACGGGATCCAGTAAGTTCAGTAGAACTTCGGTTTCAACCCTTTTAACCCTGTCGTAGCTCAGTCGATTAAGGCAGTGTCTGGGATGCTCCCGGACGCGGGTTCGAATCCTCGTCACGGCCCTTGTGGATTTGTTCATTTGATGCATCATGTTAGTGTGATCTCTGTGTGTATTAACCTGTTTAACTTAGCAGCCTCAAGCTTCAGTGACAAGTGCCAGGGTTTTGACTTTAATGTGCTGTAAATAATGTAAATAACTCTTGTTATGTGTAAAAAGTTCACCCCGGTAACGTGGATAAGGTAGACTTTTACTGAGTCTCAAGACTGAATAAAAATGTGATTTAGGTGAGGCCACGAGTGAATACTATTGAGAAGGGAAAGAGATCACCAGGAGCTGTACTTGAGGAAACAACCAACCACAGGGCACACCTACAGGTGTAGAACCAAACACAGAGCACTCCTACAGGTGTAGAACCAAGCACAGGGCACACCTACAGGTGTAGAACCAAACACAGGGCACACCTACAGGTGTGGAACCAAGCACAGAGCACACCTACAGGTGTGGAACCAAGCACAGGGCACACCTACAGGTGTAGAACCAAGCACAGGGCACACCTACAGGTGTAGAACCAAGCACAGGGCACACCTACAGGTGTGGAACCAAGCACAGGGCACACCTACAGGTGTGGAACCAAGCACAGGGCACACCTACAGGTGTAGAACCAAGCACAGGGCACACCTACAGGTGTAGAACCAAGCACAGGGCACACCTACAGGTGTAGAACCAAGCACAGGGCACACCTACAGGTGTGGAACCAAGCACAGGGCACACCTACAGGTGTAGAACCAAGCACAGGGCACACCTACAGGTGTAGAACCAAGCACAGGGCACACCTACAGGTGTGGAACCAAACACAGGGCACACCTACAGGTGTGGAACCAAGCACAGGGCACACCTACAGGTGTAGAACCAAACACAGGGCACACCTACAGGTGTCGAACCAAGCACAGGGCACACCTACAGGTGTGGAACCAAGCACAGGGCACACCTACAGGTGTAGAACCAAGCACAGAGCACACCTACAGGTGTGGAACCAAGCACAGGGCACACCTACAGGTGTAGAACCAAGCACAGAGCACACCTACAGGTGTGGAACCAAGCACAGAGCACACCTACAGGTGTGGAACCAAGCACAGGGCACTCCTACAGGTGTGGAACCAAGCACAGGGCACACCTACAGGTGTAGAACCAAGCACAGGGCACACCTACAGGTGTAGAACCAAGCACAGGGCACACCTACAGGTGTAGAACCAAGCACAGAGCACACCTACAGGTGTAGAACCAAGCACAGAGCACACCTACAGGTGTAGAACCAAGCACAGAGCACACCTACAGGTGTAGAACCAAGCACAGAGCACACCTACAGGTGTAGAACCAAGCACAGGGCACACCTACAGGTGTAGAACCAAGCACAGGGCACACCTACAGGTGTGGAACCAAGCACAGGGCACACCTGCAGGTGTAGAACCAAGCACAGAGCACACCTACAGGTGTAGAACCAAACACAGAGCACACCTGCAGGTGTAGAACCTACACCCAGCAACAAAACACAGGCGGAACCTTGAACACAACATTGAGGCTTCCTGGTAAAGCCAGTGAGGTCACGACATGGCTTCCCACAGTCCCCCACCAGGACAGTCCACCACCAGGACAGTCCACCACCAGGACAGTCCACCACCAGGACAGTCCACCACCAGGACAGTCCACCACCAGGACAGTCCACCACCAGGACAGTCCACCACCAGGACAGTCCACCACCAGGACAGTCCACCACCACCAGGACAGTCCACCACCAGGACAGTCCCCCACCAGGACAGTCCACCACCAGGAGAGTCCACCACCAGGACAGTCCACCACCAGGACAGTCCCCCACCAGGACAGTCCACCACCAGGACAGTCCACCACCAGGACAGTCCACCACCAGGACAGTCCACCACCAGGACAGTCCACCACCAGGACAGTCCCCCACCAGGACAGTCTCCCACCAGGACAGTCCACCACCAGGACAGTCCACCACCAGGACAGTCCACCACCAGGACAGTCCACCACCACCAGGACAGTCCACCACCAGGACAGTCCCCCACCAGGACAGTCCACCACCAGGACAGTCCACCACCAGGACAGTCCACCACCAGGACAGTCCCCCACTAGGACAGTCCACCACCAGGACAGTCCACCACCAGGACAGTCTCCCACCAGGACAGTCCACCACCAGGACAGTCCACCACCAGGACAGTCCACCACCAGGACAGTCCACCACCAGGACAGTCCACCACCAGGACAGTCCACCACCAGGACAGTCCACCACCAGGACAGTCTCCCACCAGGACAGTCCACCACCAGGACAGTCCACCACCAGGACAGTCCACCACCAGGACAGTCCACCACCAGGACAGTCCACCACCAGGACAGTCCACCACCAGGACAGTCCACCACCAGGACAGTCCCCCACCAGGACAGTCTCCCACCAGGACAGTCCACCACCAGGACAGTCCACCACCAGGACAGTCCACCACCAGGACAGTCCACCACCAGGACAGTCCACCACCAGGACAGTCCACCACCAGGACAGTCCACCACCAGGACAGTCCACCACCAGGACAGTCCACCACCAGGACAGTCCACCACCAGGACAGTCCACCACCAGGACAGTCTCCCACCAGGACAGTCCACCACCAGGACAGTCCACCACCAGGACAGTCCACCACCAGGACAGTCCACCACCAGGACAGTCCACCACCAGGACAGTCTCCCACCAGGACAGTCCACCACCAGGACAGTCCACCACCAGGACAGTCCACCACCAGGACAGTCCACCACCAGGACAGTCCACCACCAGGACAGTCCACCACCAGGACAGTCCACCACCAGGACAGTCCCCCACCAGGACAGTCCACCACCAGGACAGTCTCCCACCAGGACAGTCTCCCACCAGGACAGTCCACCACCAGGACAGTCCACCACCAGGACAGTCCACCACCAGGACAGTCTCCCACCAGGACAGTCTCCCACCAGGACAGTCCACCACCAGGACAGTCCACCACCAGGACAGTCCACCACCAGGACAGTCCGCCACCAGGACAGTCCACCACGAGGACAGTCCCCCACCAGGACAGTCCACCAAAAGGACAGTCTCCCACCAGGACAGTCCACCACCAGGACAGTCCCCCACCAGGACAGTCCACCACCAGGACAGTCCCCCACCAGGACAGTCCACCACCAGGACAGTCCACCACCAGGACAGTCTCCCACCAGGACAGTCTCCCACCAGGACAGTCCACCACCAGGACAGTCCACCACCAGGACAGTCCACCACCAGGACAGTCCACCACCAGGACAGTCTCCCACCAGGACAGTCTCCCACCAGGACAGTCCACCACCAGGACAGTCCACCACCAGGACAGTCCACCACCTGGACAGTCCACCACCAGGACAGTCCACCACCAGGACAGTCCACCACCAGGACAGTCTCCCACCAGGACAGTCTCCCACCAGGACAGTCCACCACCAGGACAGTCTCCCACCAGGACAGTCTCCCACCAGGACAGTCTCCCACCAGGACAGTCCACCACCAGGACAGTCTCCCACCAGGACAGTCCACCACCAGGACAGTCCACCACCAGGACAGTCTCCCACCAGGACAGTCCCCCACCAGGACAGTCCACCACCAGGACAGTCCACCACCAGGACAGTCTCCCACCAAGACAGTCCACCACCAGGACAGTCTCCCACCAGGAGAGTCCACCACCAGGACAGTCCACCACCGTGACAGTCCACCACCAGGACAGTCCACCACCAGGACAGTCTCCCACCAGGACAGTCCACCACCGTGACAGTCCACCACCACCAGGACAGTCCACCACCGTGACAGTCCACCACCAGGACAGTCTCCCACCAGGAGAGTCCACCACCAGGACAGTCCACCACCAGGACAGTCCACCACCGTGACAGTCCACCACCGTGACAGTCCACCACCAGGACAGTCTCCCACCAGGAGAGTCCACCACCAGGACAGTCCACCACCAGGACAGTCCACCACCGTGACAGTCCACCACCGTGACAGTCCACCACCACCTGGACAGTCCACCACCGTGACAGTCCACCACCAGGACAGTCTCCCACCAGGAGAGTCCACCACCAGGACAGTCCACCACCAGGACAGTCCACCACCGTGACAGTCCACCACCAGGACAGTCCACCACCAGGACAGTCCACCACCAGGACAGTCCACCACCAGGACAGTCTCCCACCAGGACAGTCCACCACCAGGACAGTCCACCACCAGGACAGTCCACCACCAGGACAGTCCACCACCAGGACAGTCCACCACCAGGACAGTCCACCACCGTGACAGTCCACCACCGTGACAGTCCACCACCAGGACAGTCCACCACCAGGACAGTCCACCACCAGGACAGTCCACCACCAGGACAGTCCACCACCAGGACAGTCCATCACCGTGACAGTCCACCACCGTGACAGTCCACCACCAGGACAGTCCACCACCAGGACAGTCCACCACCGTGACAGTCCACCACCGTGACAGTCCACCACCAGGACAGTCCACCACCAGGACAGTCCACCACCAGGACAGTCCACCACCGTGACAGTCCACCACCGTGACAGTC